CCTACCGGGAATTGAACTCAGGACCTTGCACATGGGCGTTGTGCCATTGAGCTACATCCCATCCCTGAAATAAGCTCTTATTTACACTTGCAAGTAACTACTCATAGTTGTTTTTTGTTTTTTTTTTCTCTGTACCAGGGATTGAACTCAGGACCTTGTGCTTTCGAGACAGGTAGAGAGGCACCACTGAGCTACACCCCTGGCCCGTGCTCATAGCTGTTTTGTTCAAGAAGTCTAACCAGGGCAGCCTGCTCACACGAACACATCAAGGGCTTTTTTAAATAGAAGTCTACCAGTTTATTTGATGTCTTGTTTTTTTTCTTTTGTACCTGGGATTGAACTCTGGCCCTTGATCTTGTGAGGCAGTCAGCAGAAGCACTGAGCCAAATCCCCGGCCCCTATTTGATATCTTCTTATGGAACAAAATAATGTAGAAATCAGAATTTTGAGTTCTGATATTTACTCTCTGGAGCCCTCATTAACTTCAGTGGAATTTTCTTGTAGCACATGATTTGGGAGTTACATTCTGTGACATGGATGAATCTGCATCGACACTTAGCACGATAGATGTTTCGTATGTGCCACATTCATCAGAATACAGTCTTGGTCGATGTAAACACATGAGTGAGGAATGGGTAAGTTTAAAAGAAAAATTAAAAGCATTCACCCTATAAATGTCCATTTCAATATTGTTTATGAAGGTAGAAATGTTGGTAGCAATATACAGTAACATCAAATGGAGGTTAGTAGCTATAGAAGCTGCCTCCAACTGTTAGAAATTATGTTTATGAAGTCCAATAATATTTAATAATTTTTGTTATGTTAACAGGGAAGAAAAAGTTGGGTAGAAAATTTAAGTAAAGTGATTAAGTTAGAAAGAAAAACACCTTTGCCTAGGGAAAAACACCTTAGTTCTTGTTTTGGGTAGTGTAATTATAAAGAGAGTTTTGTTTTTTCTTTCTCTTGGTTTCTATTTTCCATGTTACATTTAGTAGGCATGAATTTTATAATGAAGATTTTTTTAAAAATTGGAAATTTTAGTATGCATCCAGTCTAAAATGATACATTTTAAATATTGCTTTACCTATTTCAACATAATTTGGCATATTTTAAATATCTCATACACTATCTGCTTTATGTAAACATTTGAAAAGAATGTTATCAATGAGATTTAAGAGATCAGTGAGCTCAAAGTTAAAAGAAAATTGTTAGAACAAGAGGGTTTGACCCTAATTGAGTAGTATAGCTATATAAATTCTAGCCTTTTAAACTCTCTTGATAAGATAAAGGAATATTATTAAGTTCACCATTTTATTACCATTTTATTTTAAGTTGTTGTAGAGCAGCTTGCTCACTTGTAAGCCCTTTAGAATTCCATCGTGGGAGTGTGAGATTTAAAAGGACATAAGGTCAACTGTTGACATGGGGTCTGCTTTACTAATCCTGCTTGGTCAGAAGTCCACTTTGCTTTCTACAGCTTTGTTTTTTTATTTTTAAAATGAAAATTTTTTTTTTGTTAGGAATGTCTTATTTTAGATTTTAATTGGCATAGTAGTTATACATATTCATGGGATACAGTGGTTCTTTCAACACGTGTATACACTGTGCAGTGATCAATTCAGGATAATTAGCATATCCATTAACTCAAGCGTTTATCATTTCTTTTTGTTGGAATTGTTAGAAATCCTCCTTTCTAGTTATTTAGAATAGACAATAACTGTTAACTTTGGTCACCCTGCTGTGCCACAGAATGCTCGAACTTTATCCTCCTGGTGCCTTCCAATTTTGTATGTTAACCAGCCTTTCTTTCCTGACCCTGCAATCTTCATCACCTGGTCACTATTCTACTCTTCTATGAGTGAGATTAATTTTTTTTTTCCTTCCTGGTACTAGAGATTGAAGCCAGGCCTTTGTACTGAACCATATTCTCAAATCTTTTAAAATTTTGAGACAGGGTCTTGCTAAGTTGCTGAGTTGCCCAGGCTGGGCCTGAACTTGCGATCCACTTAACATCCTTCTAGAATGCTGGGATTACAGGCATGAGTTACTATGCCTGGCCTGAATCGGATTTTTTGGCTTCTTTATATGAAAGCTTCCATTTTTGTGCCTAGCTCATTGCACTTACCATAATGTCTTGGCTTATCCATGCTACTGTAAGGATTTCATTCTTTTTAAGGGCCAAATAATATTCTATTACACACACACACACACACACACATATGGCATATCTTTATTCATCCATCACTGGAAACCACAGCTTAGTTTTAAAACCTTTGATGCTTGAAGTGTGTAGTGATCATTACCTATTATTACTATTCTTAGGTAATCAGCTTTTGATTATGTAGTTTTTTTTATGGTACTAGGGATCGAACTCAGGACCTTGTGCTTGTGAGGCAGGCATGGCACCACTGAGCTAAATCCCAGGTTTGATTATGTATTAAGCTTTTTTCTAAGTGTTGATGTGGAAGGGAATACCTTAAGTGAAAGTCACAGTGTAACACATGATTGTATTCCCCAAAGACAAACATGTCATCATTTTCTCTTGTATATGAAATATCATAGTTTTAGAGACCAGGTGGACAAGTATGATTCTCTTGCCACTTAGACACTGTTTTCTTCTTCATATGTATTAGGCTGAGTGTAGCTTCAGATCTACCTTCTTCAGATCTGCAACCCTAAAATGGAAAGAAAGCCTGATGAGCCGGAAGAGGCCGTTCGTTGGAAGATGTTGTTACTCATGCACTCCCCAGAGCTGGGTAAGGATGTGCCTGCCTGCTGCCTTCGACAAATAGAGTGAAATATGTGACACAGGATTCCACCTGTGTGTGAGTTTTTATTGTTTAGTCATAATAAACTTACTTCACTTTTAGAACAGACTCTTGTTTATAAACCATATATTTCCACTGAAGAAGTTGACTTTTCCATTCATAGCCAATAAATATTGGTTCCATAATCAATCCTGGAAGTGTTCTGGTTCTTATGAAGTCTTGGTGTGATTTTAAGGGAATAATAGAACTTAGCCTTTTGTGAACTCTTGCAGAGAATTGGTAGGAACCTTGGTGTGCATTCTAGGTGCTGAATGAACTTCAAGCACTTCACATTAAATCCTAGCAAAATGAAATAGTGGAACAGAGTAAAAGTTAAAGGTGTGGCTTTGCTTTTAGCTTTGGCTGCTTTCCTGGAGAATGTCTGTAGATTTTATAACAGTGAAATATGGTCACTAAAATGATAGGATGAGATTTACGAAATAATATACAGTAGTACTTCGGTTCAGGAATGCTGCTGTTCAAGAGCAATCACTTTGCAAACAGAAGTGTTCGGCAAAATTTTGCTTCTGTTGATGAACTCTGTATCAGGTGTCAAGCACAACCACGGCCATAGCTGTTTTCTAAAGCAGTGGAATTACCCTGTAAAAGGGTTTCTGTAATCCCATCACCCTCGGGGGCTGAGGCAGGAGGATCATAACTTTGAGTCCATTGATTTAGCAAGACCCTGTATCAAAATAAAACACAGAAAGGACCAGGGATGTAATTCATTGTGAAGGCCCTGGGTTCAATCACTAGTACTGCAGAGAAACAAAAAAGTAAAACAAATCAAAGCTAAACAAAACATATATTGGAATGTGAAGTTTCCCCTGGAATGATCCAGTGGTTAGGATGTAGAAATTCTGCCATTTAAATGCCTACTATTCTAGAGGTTGCTTATAACCTGTGTTAATAGCAACTGCACTGTGTGGATTTTCTACCCTGACTTGACTTGTACGAAGCAGAATTCTGAGTGTGGTATTGAGGGATTTACTAACACTGGGAGATTTGTATAGTCAAACAGTTCACCTTAAATGTTCATGTCTGCTCAGTATTGCTTCTTTTAAATAATAAGCACCTTGCTGCAAGAACTGGTAGAATCAAAAGATCCTGGAAATTTCTAGTCTAGGTGTAAGGTCCAGTCAGCTTGATAGAACAGTGGAAATAAAGATTTAAATAGAAGGTCAGATGTCTCCTTTTAATTTTGGCATCTCATTCAATTCTAATTTTGAAAGTTTGTTCAAAACAATACCTTAGCTACAATATTAGACCAATACATCACCTTATCTATAATGTTACAGTGTATTCTTAAATCAGGAGGGAGTTTAGGAAATCATTTGGTGGTAGTTATAGTTTGGAGTATGAATAGAGAATAGTACAACAAATAATTGGTTAATAATTTGTTTAAAATATTTTTTAGAATTCTTTGATATTTTCTGTCTTTAAAATCCTGTGTTATTTTTCTTTAAAGAGATGTCATTTTTTTTTTTTTACTTCTTTTGTTGAGGATATGTTATGCTTTTTTTAAAGTGTTTATTTGAGGAATATTTACCTTTTTGTCCACATTAGTAAAGCTATAGACTTCCTCTTTTTTGACTTTCTCTTTTCAACAGAGCTATCTCTGGATTATCTTTTAAGATCACTTGTAAAGACAATGACTTGTAGAAGTACACTTTCTCAGTAAGTAGACAGTCATTTTAGGGGAACCAACAGGATCATACTCTTTGGAGCAAGTTACGAGATTGAATACTAAACTCCCACCAGCCTCAATTTCCTGTCCTGTACAGTGGGGCCAATAATTCTTATGTGTCTTGTATGTTGCCAGATTTAGTAATTTAACAGTAACTGTGTGATACTTTCCAGAGGTTTTGTATTCTGACTTTTCTTGACTGACTTAGTGTTTTGGAATGAAGGTGAGGAGTAGGGCAGGAAAGGAAGGGGCACTATTTCCTTTAGTTTTAAGGTTTTAAAAATTTATTTTGAGTTTGGGACCTTTGTAGGCTTAAGAGTATTTTTCACAAAGAAAAAACAGTTTTTCTTCATCAGTTAGATTTTTGAAGTGATGCCTAATGTTATGCTTGAATTTTAAAAGTTTTCAGGAACTAATAATATGAGCCTTTCAACTATCCAATTGTGTATTTATGTCTACATTTATTTTGTTTTATTTAGGAAAAATTTTTCAACCCCAGTATCCCTTCTCTGGGTTTGCGGAATGTTATTTATATCAATGAAACTCACACAAGGTAAAAAGAAACTTCTGATACTTCTAATGAATCTCAAAAGTCAAACTCCATAGTATTAATGAGCATAGTTTAAGGTGAATCTCTGTTCTTGAGCATGATGAGAATATGAGCTTTTGACGCAGAGGCTTTATCCAGAAATTAGAAGCAGACCAGCCAACAGAAGAGACCTCTTACTGCTAACCACTGCTGTGCCTACAGACGTCCACGCGTGTGGAGATGTCACCTACAGTGTTACTTAATGCTTTCATTCTCTGACTTGTTATTTGCCTAAGACTTTTCTTTTTACTTCTGAATTCCAGGTGCTTGGGGATGAGTTAGTAGGTACCAGAGACAGAGAGAAGGGCCTTTGTTTTACATGAATCCGGGTTACAGGATAAGGAAGGAGAATTGAAAGAAGGTTCTGTGAATGTCTTGAAGGCAAGAGAAACATTAGCCAAAAACACTACTGGTCCCTGTAATTCTAAGAGTAGATTCCTGAGACAGGTAAGAATAGGGTCAAGCGATCAGACATGCTTGAAATTCTCTGAAAAATTGGTCCAAAAAATCATATTCTTAAACTTGAGACCTTCAGAATTACTATTAAAAATTAGTTGATGAGATCACATGTGCGAATGATGACATTTGCATATATCTTAAAGGTTTTTTTTTTTTAAATAGAACTAAGGTTGAAATCAAAGGATATACACATACACATACACAC